CCATCTCTTGCTTTCGTTGCCTACCACTCCTCACGGTTGTTCCTTAGACTTTTGCTTAACCTAGATCTGATTTGTTGTCGCTCTTCATCGTGTTCAGAACCTGATGGGATGAGTTTGCGAGAATCCATCAGTGCAATAGACCTTGAAGAAATCCGTTAGTTCTTTGTAACCCTGTGGCGGGGGTGTTGTTTACGAAATTGAGAGGACGCAAAGCGAATGTCCGGCGCTTTAACCGGATTCCAAATCAATGGTGCACATGGACTCCAGTATCCTGCGGGAACAAATGGCGTATGAACCAATCGTCGGTCACCGGCTTCCATGGGGCTGCATCTCCTTACGATGCTCCACTGCCTTGTGGGTTAGACCTTTAGGTCAAAGGCTCGGGGTGTGGTCCCCTAAGAAAACCACCTGCTTCGGTCTGGGCACCCGAGCAGTATCCCAGCCCTCACACAAATCAAATGATTTATGTGGCGCATATCTATTTGGTGCCTCCTTGTACCAATGTTTATGTTTAAATAAATAAATTTAAATAAATAAGTAACCCTGTGGCTTAAATCACTGATAGATGTCACTGCTGTTTGTATAGCTTTCCAAGCAACATCTGGGTCAGCCTCGTTTTCAGAACTACCTAAGTGTGACCTCAGTTGTTCCTGGAACCTACTTTTGGTTTTCTCGTTACTCAATTCAGTCCTAATGGATCCTTTTTGTGTTGCTTTTTGCGTCCACTGAGACGCGAGCAGATGCGTGCCCGTAATAGGCCATGGTCGGAGTTCAAGCAGGTACTCTAGAATGGGCGATAATCTTCTACCGACCCTCTCCAACGATGACTGATGGAAATATGGTCTATTTGAGTCCATCGTTGGTTTGGTGTAGGGGGCCGCCATGTTAGACGATGTCTATCCTTATGCCTAAAATTTGTGTTTGCTAAAAATAAACGATTGTCTGAGCACAGTTGCAGCAGACGATCGCCATTATCTGTTCGTTGTGTCGGAATACTAAAATACCTACCTAAATGCCTTTCTGTTTGGTTTAAACTACCTATCTGGGCATTAAAGTCACCTGCTACGAGTACTGTATCTGAACGTTTAGCTTTCTGAAGAAGTTCAGATAGCTTTCTGTAAAATTCATCTTTCACTTCATCTGAGCTGCAGTCGGTGGGAGCGTAGACAGAAACGACAAAAAGACAACGACGTGTGTCGGGAGTGTATTGTACGGCCCTCTGGTTAGTTTCCGAATTACACCGTTTTGTAAAATCTATTTTCTTTAGTTTTATAATTAACTGATGGAAATGTTCCCATTTTATTCATTCTTCGATCATTAGTTTAGAGATGGTGTCTTACTTATCCTATTAATGGGTCTTATTGATGGCTATTTTGTACCATTTCATGCATATCATCCAACACCAACAACGGAAGAATTGTGTACATCAAATGTTAAACTAGCCTTTGAACTTATTCAAGCAGCTGGTATGGTTGAACCTCCAGCAAAACCTGAAGAAATTGTTGCAGGCGATAGCAGTGCTGTATTACGCGTGTTGTATGGCATCTACTCATATTGTGCACATATGGAGGATGAACAACGTCGGTATGAAATAAATAATATTCGAGAACAAGGTGAGATGGATGGATATTATGGTAATAACCAGGATCCTTCTGTACAACACGGTGTAATTAATTTATCGTGAAGTATACGTAACTGTGATATGTCTCTGCTGTTTTCTGTGATGCTAACATCTTAAAAATTACCGTGGAATAATATGCGTTACCACTGGAGTGACTTACTTTTAATAAATAACAGGTTATCGTTTGATGTTCTTTAGTTACTTTCTTTTTAGAAATGATAAACAATGAAATGAATTTGTATGTAAGTACTCCATTATATTATTTCTCTCTCTCCTCTGCGAATATACGCTCTTCAGCCTGACATTTTTTACACCACTAAACGTTGTGATGTCAGTTTTGTAGTTATCTATATTATTTTTTTGTGGTTAATTGTTTTACTTTCCTAAATATTGATGTTAGTGTGAATTTCTAGGTACGATAATAAAAGCAATAACTTTGAAAAGATTCGTTTATGATTATGTTCCTTTTAGTTAACTGGTAGTGTAGTTTATCACTTTTCTCCGCGCTATGTAGTTTCATCGTATATTCTATAATTTTTCTGCGCCCATGGGTTTTATCTCACTGAATGTGTTCATTACTACTAAATAAAATGGGTTTTTGTCTTTTTAGACGTTTATTTCTTGCTCTTATTACAACGTTTATGTTATATACCATTTCATTGGACAAATATATGAAATAATCATGCCTACATGTATACAAACTGAACATCTTAAAGAGATCAACCTTAGACAACATTCATCTGTTGACATCGAAAAAGATTTGTCTTATAAAGAAAAAATTGAAAGTCCAACATCAGAGAGTGATTTGGATTTCACAATAAGTACTTCAACAACATTCTGTTCTTCAGCAGAAGTTTGGAAGCTTAGAAGATACTTTGATAGATGTTTTGTACAAGGCTTTAATCCAGCATCCGTAAAAATAGTTTGTTCACTTACAAGTTCTATTCATAATCCAATTTATGATTCAAGTTACACTTAATATCTTTTTCGCACAACATATTTTCACATGGGCTTCTGATTATTAATGCGACAGATGCCTATTTCATCCTAGCTTGAAGCCCCGTAAGATTGCGCACTACATTCGCTTTTCGTGAAAACAATTAGTCAGCCATGTAAGTGATGCTCACCCCGAGGCAGCATGGAGTGATATTAGAAAAGCTGTGGAAACAGCAGTGGTATCTGCTTAACTTCGGAACTACTTCAGTGTTTCCAACATGCGCGGGTAGTGTTTTCACGATAATTTTGACCAGATTCTTGTAATGCAAACATAGTTTACCTTCCAAGAAAACACCCTACACTAGTAATGCAGTACAGATCGGAACACTGAACAGAACACTTGTTTTATTTACAATCACTTGTGAATTATCAAATAACATGATACCAAGAAATAATAACAACACCAATAACAATAAGCTCAGCATTGAAATATACAATATGAGGAATTAACAAATAACAACAAAAAATACGTATATGAGACTCACCGAATAACAAAACTGTCATTTTGGCTTTAAATATGCAGACTTTGTAGACAAATATGGTGCATGTTCCAAATGTGGCTGCTGCTCATCAACCAACTTTGTTCAAGCTAATTTCCTTTAAATCTGATCCCAATAAATAATAATATCATCCCGTTAATTTAATATTTAATCCAGGCTAAATCTTATAGTAGAATTATCAATTCACCCAAGATGATTATTTAAAAGCCTGAACAACACCAGTTAGTTATAGATATAGTTTATTATTAAACATCAGCAAAATACAATCCACACGGAGAAACCAAATGGGTAGGACTGTTAAAAATCCATATATATTAATGAGTGTTAATCCAATATGGGTAAATTATTGATTAACTGTGTCTTACAACCAATGGGAGAATAGATTGAAGGTTGATGTGCAGACGCGCGCACAATCAGACTCACACAGAAGTTTACCTAGTGGATTTAGTGTCTAAATAACAATGGGTAGAAAAATAATACCCTAGTTGAATGGGCTTACTGAAACTATACGCAATCTACAAAGTTGTGCATTGCACCAAGTGTTCAAGTGACACGGAACGCTGTGAGAATATGCACAGTGTCACCTAGTGTTTATGGTGTGACTCGAGTGACTGTCAACAGCTATGATGTGAGTGGGACTCAATCCGACGCCCATTAACACTGCAGCACAGATCCAATGCCTTACACCACTCAACCACAACAAAAGTGATAGTAAACGCACAAAACTAATTCATCAGTCTCAACATTTTTTTCACTTTAAACTAACTTTGTCCCACTCATATGCATCTTTGTCCTACATCTATTTACACTCTTGTTTTTTCTGCTGACCCTGCTCACGCTGATTTATCACCCGTCGTCTCTTGTTAAAGGATTCGAGGTCGCGGAATGTTATCCACGTTTAGTTGATGCTACCCTCGAAACTGCATGATGTAAATTTTAAGGGTTGAGTACTGAACCAATTTCGACAACAGATTTCCTTAGCTAGTACCTTAGAATAACTCCGCCTGTAGCTCTTCTAAAGTTACTGCCGGTGCTAAGCCCGTGAAAAGGAGGAGGGTTGGGCATGCAGTCGGCGACCCCATCCCGTAGAAAACAAACTCACTCAAAAACGCTAACCGGAAAAATAATTCAAACCGTTTATCCTCTGCCCTGGGAGTTAGAAGGTCTTCATTTAGATGAATTATGACGCTTCATAGTGAAAGCTGAGTTCCTTCGGAAGTCACGAGGCAGACGCTCCTTCTAACAACCAGAGCAAAATTTTTATAGGTGGATGGAACATCCGAACAATGTGGGAGACCGGGAAGACCAGTCAAATTGCAACGGAAATGAGGAGATACAATTTGGCAGTACTGGGAATCAGCGAAACGTACTGGACCCAAGCTGGACAACAAAGGCTAAATACGGGAGAGATGCTGCTATACTCCGGCCACGAAGAAGAAAATGCTCCATACACTCAGGGAGTCGCTCTAATGCGGTCCAAAGTAGCACGAAATGCACTTGTAGAATGGGAATCTCACGGATCCAGAATCATCAAAGCATCATTCAAAACAAAAAAGGAGGGAAATACAATGAATGCTATCCAATGTTATGCACCCACCAATTATTGCAATGACGACAATAAAGATCAGTTCCATGAGAATCTGCAATCAATCATAGCGAAGTGCCCAAGAGAGGACCTCACCATTCTGATGGGAGATCTAAACGCCAAAGTCGGAATAGACATTACCGGATATGAAGGTATCATGGGACGACATAGGCTGGGAGGGAGAAACGAAAATGAGGAAATGTTTAAAACTCTTTGTGCATTCAAAAGTTGGTTATAGGCGACACAGTATTTCCACACAAGGGTATACACAAAGCTACATGGATCTCACCAGACCACACTACAGAGAACCAAATAGATCATATTTGCATCAACAAAAAATTCCGAAGGACAATGGAAGATGTGAGAATCAGGAGAGGTGCTGACGTAGCTTCAGATCACCACCTAGTTGTAGCCAATTTAAAATTGAAGCTAAAAAAGAACTGGTCAAGTGGACAAACAGCACTACAAAGGTTCAATACAGTCTTCCTTCGAGATACTGACAAACTCAATGAATTCAAGATAGCTCTGAACAACAGGTTCCAAGCCTTACAAGATCTACTGAAAGGAGGAGAAACTAGTATGGAGGACAACTGGAAAGGCATCAAGGAAGCATTAACTTCAACATGTCAAGAGGTTCTGGGTCTAAAAAAATACCATCATAAGGAATGGATCTCTACAGAAACACTGGACAAGATCAAAGATAGGAAGAACAAGAAGGCAGCAATAAACAACAGCCGAACACGAGCAGAGAAAGTCCAAGCACAAGCTGAATACATGGAAGCAAACAAGCAAGTGAAGAAAAGCATTAGAGCCTACAAAAAAGAAATACGTGGAAGAATTAGCAACGACGGCGGAAAAATCTGCTAGAGAAGGAAATATGAAACAGCTTCACGATGCGACGAAGAAACTAGCAGGGAAAAATAGTAAAACAGAGAGGCCAGTCAAAGACAAAGAAGGTAAGCCAATCACCGAAATTCAACAACAGCGGAACAGATGGGTAGAATACTTCGAGGAACTCCTGAATAGGCCGGCTCCAATGAATCCACCGGACATCGAAGCAGCACACACAGATCTTCTATAGATGTCAACTCACCAACGACGGGAGAAATCAGAATGGCCATCAGACAAATCAAGAACGAGAAAGCAGCAGGACCCGACAACATACCAGCTGAAGCACTGAAATCAGACATCGAAACAACCACAAGCATGCTTTACCTTCTATTCAAAAAGATTTGGGAGGAGGAACAAGTGCCAATGGACTGGAAAGAAGGACACCTCGTCAAGATTCCAAAGAAAGGTGATCTGAGCAAATGTGAAAACTACAGAGGCATTACACTACTGTCAATACCAGGGAAAGTCTTCAACAGAGTGTTGCTGAACCGGATGAAGGATGCAGTAGACGCCCAACTTCGAGATCAACAAGCTGGATTCCGTAAGGATCGGTCGTGCACAGACCTAATTGCAACACTACGGATCATCGTCGAACAACCAGTTGAGTGGAACTCGTCACTATACATCAACTTCATTGATTATGAAAAGGCGTTTGACAGTGTAGACAGGAGGATATTATGGGAACTTCTTCCACACTACGGAGTTCCTGAGAAGATTGTCAATATTATCCGGAACTCATACGACGGACTGCAGTGCAAAGTCGTGCATGATGGACAGATGACATGCATTCCAAGTAAGGACCGGAGTCAGATAAGGCTGTCAACTGTCTCCCTTCCTCTTTCTTCTGGTGGTCGACTGGATTATGAAGACCTCTATATCTGAGGGAAAACACGGCATACAATGGACAGCTCAGAATCAATTAGATGATTTGGACTTCGCAGATGACCCAGCCCTCCTATCGCATACACACGAACAGATGCGGATAAAGACAGCCAGTGTAGCAGCAGTCTCTGCATCAGTAGACCTCAACAAACACAAGGAGAAAACCAAGGTCCTCAAATACAACACGGAGAACAGTAATCCAATCACTGTTGATGGCGAAACTCTGGAAGATGTAGAATCCTTCACATACCTGGGAAGCATCATCGATGAACAAGGAGGATCAGATGCAGACGTAAAGGCAAGGATTGGCAAAACACGACAGCATTCCTACAATTGGAGAACATATGGAACTCAAAACAACTTTCAACCAATATCAAAGTGAGAATCTTCAATACCAACGTCGAGACAGTTCTACTGTATGGAGCGGAAACTTGTAGAACTACAACAACCACAATCAAGAAGGTACAAGTATTTATAAATAGCTGTCTACGCAAGATACTCAACATCCATTGGCCGGATACCATCAGCAATAGCCTTCTGTGGGAGAGAACAAACCAACTTCCAGCTGAAGAGGAAATTAGGAGAAGACGATGGAAATGGCTAGGACATACATTACGCAAATCGTCAAACTGCATCACGAGGCAAGCCCTAACTTGGAATCCTGAAGGGAAGCGGAAAAGAGGAAGGCCAAAGAACACATTGCATCGGATAATAGAAGCAGATATGAAAACGATGAATTACAAATGGACGGAGCTAGAAAGGATTGCCCAGGACAGGGTTGGATGGAGAATGCTGGTAAGCGGTCAATGCTTCCTCACGAGGAGTAACAGGCGTAAGTAAGTAAGGACCTTAGAATATCGCGCCGTCTTTGTATACTTCGTCACCGAGACGCGCATAGAGGATCTGAGTAGTCTCCGTTATTTGACCTCACCATATCAACATAAAGCATCTGGATTCATACTTAGAGTTTCTAGAAACCCTTGTGCTACTCCACATTGTCTTGCTGTTGTAGGTATAGCATTAAGTCCTTGGGCAGAACTAGCTCTCTTAGACTGGATCCCAGTAGACAGTCGTCTGTGCGCTGTCCAACTAAACGGAACAATAAGGACTCGGAAATATAAGGACACTCGTCGTTGCCTCTTCGTCATCTCTGCCTATTCTCCCACTGACTGCAGCTCAGATGATGTAAAAGATGAGTTTTGCAAAAAGCTTTCTGGCCTCCTCCAAAAAGTTAGGCGCTGTGATGTAGTAATAGTGGCTCGTGACTTTAATGCCCAATTAGCTGAACTAAGCGAAATGGAGAGACACCTGGGTGGATCTTATGGTGTTACGGCACAGAGAACAGATAACGGCGACCGTCTGTTGCAGCTATGCTCAGATAACCACTTGTTTCTTGCAAATACTAACTTTAAGCATAAGGAAAAACATGTTTTGACACGCCAACCCCCGAATTCATCCCAACGTTGGACCGAACTATATCACATCGCTATCAGCCATCGATGGAGGGGCTCAATAGAAGACTGACGCTTGGATTCACATCATGCTCTAGTGCGAGCACATATTTGTATGCGTCTTACTGGACGTAGGACAGATGCTACAAGAAAGCCTGTTAGGGTTCTACTTAGTGATAGTCAAGCTAAGAATATATTTCAGGAACAACCAGGAATACAATTACGCAGCTATGTAAGTGATGCTCACCCCGAGGCAGAGTGGAATGACATCAGAAAAGCTGTGAAAACAGTGGTGGTATATGCTAGTAAGGTAAGCCATGTTTAGGGAGAAACACTGGATCTCAGCAGCATCTACCGCACTGATAGATGCTCGAAAACTCATCCCACCTGGCTCTGAACATGACAAAGAGCGGATTCAGCTTAAGCGCAGGCTGGTGATAAACCTACGCAATGATCGGGAACAGCATCCGTAAAAATATTTTGTACACATACAAGTTCTATTCCCAATCCAATTCATGATTTAAGTTACAATAAATATTTTCTTCGCATAACATATTTTTAAATGGGCATCTGATTATTAATGCAACAGATGCATATTTCATCCTAGCTTGAAACTCCGTAAGACTATACAATGCATTCGTTTTTCGTGATGTAAATCAGGACAGTTTTGCGAGGAAATTATGACTGTTAAGCAACTATTTTACAATGTCTGGTACCTGAGTATACAAATCAGTAATCCAGAGATTACAACAACAGCCAGTAAGCAGCCAAACGAACGTACAACACAAAATAAGTGGTTAAAGCGAAAGCTACATAGTTAGGATATAAATGAGGCAAAAGTGAAACAACCAATGATAAGGCAGACTACACATAGTAAGAAGTAGTGTTACAATAATAACGATGACTCATCGTCGTAGTCAAATGCAACAAAGAACTTGACGCAAGTATGTCAGTCCAAGTTGTCATACCACATTAGCCCAGCGAGATAAAATTATCAAAACACATCCCATAGTCATAAAAGTAGTAACAGTATCAGTAGTAATGTGGTGTGTACTACAGATGTCGACAGATATAAGTAGTATGTATCAACAATCGAAAGTGAAATACCTGGAGGCAGAAAGTTGAGATTAAAGAAAAGAAAACGAGAACAAACAATGATTGGTATAGAAACGAAAGAACAATGAAGTCTGAGACGATAGACTGATATTTGCAAAAGGAACAGTCATTAATTGACATTATTTAAATTATATATTTACACTATGGTTCTAAGTTGTTCTGTAATTTTGTGTTCAGATACATTCGATTATCCTCACTTGTGTTCTCGTTCATTACAATAGTAACTCCTATCAATATAAAGATGTATATCAGTTAAAGGTGAAAGATTGAATGACAATGAGGTAGAAGATAAAACTTGTAAATACACCTTATGCACACACAAAATTAGGTTGAATAGGTAAAGAAGATGAAACAAATAATGTATTTGAGATTTAGAGAAAGTAACTCACTGATTGATTCTGAGTCATATCACTTAAAAATCATTTATCCCTCAAGTATCATACTACTGTATGAGTACATATATCGACTTAGCTTAGAATAGTTAATAAAGAGAGATCTAATTTCTTTTTAAGAGGATTATGTACATATAGAGCAATAATAAACAATTTAAGAGGATATACATGAACTCATTTTATTTCATTTGATTCTCATCGACTACTTACAACTTGTAATACAAATATATATATAATCGAATAGTAAAAAGCATTAACATGAATAAGTAGAAAAATAAGACTAGTTTTTTTTCATCTGTTCATCGTAACACAAAATAATTCTGTTTGACGTTTATATTCAGTTAGTGAACGCTGTTGACTAACTAAGAATTGGATAACAGATGGAGATCTAAGAAGAGCTGACTTTTTAGCATCTAATACAGCATGAATCAATTTGCGATAGTTTGGTGATCCCGATTCTGGTCCTATAGAACCAGCTGAACTTGAAGATGATAAAGGACCAGAATTTGTTGAAGACTATAAAACAAAATTAAAAACATCAAACAAAATTATTTAAATCTTTTACTATAACCATATCTTTCATCTCATTACAATAATCATATGCCATATTTGATTAGCCGGAAAATATTATGACACTCCATGCGTAACAAGTAACTTTTCTATCAAACTGAGATAATAGCACAACTTCCATTGTAAAAGTTGTGGTTTCTGTCAGGTTGAATACCTGTAGTGTTCGAACATCATTCACGCTAATAACGTAAAAAAACCTACTCAGTAAGTCGCTGTCTCACCTTTTTTACACCTTAAATTCTGGTCTAGCTTAACTTTGAAACTACTTCAGTGGTTCCAACATGCGCGGGTAGTGATTTCACGATAATTTTGACCAGATTCTTGTAATGCAAACATAGTTTACCTTCCAAGAAAACACCCTACACTAGTAATGCAGTACAGATCAAAACACTGAACAGCATATCTGTTTTTTTGTTTTTTACAAGCACTTGTGGGAAAGATGAATCAACTTGATGAAAATGAAATCGATAACAAGATTTCACCACCTATGAAATAACCAAAGTTGCACAGACTTTTAACACAAGTGACGAAAACTACACACACACTCAACTTTACTGGCAACTGTCGACCTAACCACTGAGATAAACAAGTTGCAAGCGAGTATTCTGAGTTTGGATGTATAAGATATCGCCCAGATATTTTCGGATTACCATGTAGACCGTACGGAAGAATTAAGTTTCTGTTCAACATGACTATATTATATTATCTGCATGGTATCGGTTTTCGAGTAGTGTACCCACAACAAACGTCAATGAAGTTGGCAACGCTACAGAATTTCTAAAACATTGTGAAACAGTTGTCAAAATAATAATATGGACTATACTATTGTGTCATTAAAAAGACTATGAATGTGGTAAATAAACATTTCCGTTGAATCTGAATACAGTACATTTTTAATATAAAATGAATATTTAATTATTAATGAAAAAGTATTACGATAGTTGTGGTTATAGTTTTGATGAATCTTTTTGTTTAAAAATTAGGGGAAATGCTAAAAGAATTTATGTTGTTTAATAGAAGAAGATTGGTGAAGATTACAGATTGTTTCTAATCATAATATAATATTTAGTAAACCAGATAACACTACATCAATCATGATGAAAACTTGATTTGCAGAGAAGTTGAAAAGATGTAAGAGTAAGGTGTATTTCTGAAGAGTATTGATATGATAGGGAAGGTCTTATATACGTTGTAGAGTTAAACACCTTCAAAATTGATTTACTATACTCGCCTATAGTATTGAATTATACTTATTTTTCTGGCAATACTTTGTACATCAACGTGTTATTTTATTAAAAAAATATCTCTTCTAGTGGGCAGTTGTCTTGGTTTCTGATATCAGCTTATTGAAGAGCTACATCAATATTTCGGTCACAGGAGTATCTATCACCTGGGTACATTTCATTTACCATTCGGGATTTTACCTATGCACCACTCAAAATGAATTACTGAAACATAACAAGTAAAAGTCACCGTATTATTCTCGTGAACATAATCACCACATATGTTTATGAATAATAGTTTTAAAACAATTAGTCCTTTTGATAAATTTCGATAATGCAATGAGAGGATAAACTTCGTCTTCTCATTGTATTATCGAAATAATAATTTTAATAGGGATCCAAAAATGAAAATGGGGTTGCTTAGTACTATAGGAAACTTTCGAAACAACAAAATGACTGAACTGACGCGCAACCCAGGACAGAAAGGCAACACTTTATATCAACGAAATTCGAAAGTGTGAAGTAAGCATAAAAGTAATTATAAAGACATAGAACATTATGATGCAAGAAAGCGCTATTAATGAGAAATTATTAATGTGGAGCAAAAATAAAATACTTGCATTTGCGATGGGACCATCGGACATAAGCTTCTCAGTGCGGGCTTTAACAAGTTCATTAAATTCCTGGCGTTTGCGATTTGCCATCTCATCAGACGAAATCGATTTCCTGCCACGGACGCCTGACGATTTTGTATGTGTTTTTATACTACTAGTGGAAGTTTTGGAATTCCTAGTTGAGGCAGCAACTCGTTGTAACTTTGAACCATTTTCAGACTCCGCTGTACTAGTTGATAAACATGAAGGGAATTCTACTCCAGTGCTGGATAAATGAATGGAGGTAGTGGGATTCGGAAATGAAAAATCCTGAGGAATATTCATGCCTCCCAAATTATTGAAAGTATGGGATCCAGGATAAAATCCAGACTGTTGTAATGCAAAGCTGGCATAATAAGCTCTGCTTGTGTCTGCAGAAGAGAAATATGGATTCGAACCATTGGGATTAGCAGTCAGGTTGAGTGGACGACTTATCTGTAAATAAGAACGAATTGTGTAATACAAACGATTTAGCTCGTCAATCAGATGGATGGTTTTCACAACAGCTGATATTAATCGCAAAACATATTATTTCAGATTAGAGGTAAGAATTAAATGTGATTAGAATTTAAAGCTCTATAAATCTAGTAAATGAGGGTAGAACCGAAAGCATAACTTGATTACTTGGTTATTTAAACTACACAAATTCAAAAGCAAACCGATGGTACTAGAAATATGTATGATAATGTTGATCGTCTCAGAATCCCTCCTAGGTCTATAAGAGAATATGGTTAAGAGACATCATCCTTAAATCGAGACAGTATGACATTACCCTGGACATGAAAATTGCTGTAGCTAGCTTTAAATCACTTAAATATACCATTCCGATAAAGTCAACTGACTAACTTACACCTGTTACTGTTCGTAAAATAGCAAAGACCACCCATCAGGATTCTCAATCCGACTCTGTCCTGGGCAATTCCAAGTTAGCGCTTGCATCGTGATGCAGTTTAATGAATTCCACAATGTATGTAATATCCACCCCTATCGTTTTTCTCCTAATTTCCTCTTCAAATAGAAGCTGGCTTGTTTTCTCCCACACTAGGCTGTTGCTGATGGTATCGGGCCAACGGACATTCAATATCTTGTACACAATATTGCTTATAAATACTTGTACATTTTTGATGACGGTGGTAGTAGTTCTCCACGTTTCAGCTCCTTACGATAGAATTGTCTTTACGTTCGTATTGGTGACTGTTTGGTCCGATGAGATCCATGTAGCTTTGTGTATACCCTTGTGTGGAAATACTGTGTCGCCTATAACCAATTTTTGAATGCACAAAGAGTTTTAAACATTTCCTCATTTTCGTTTCTCCCTCCCAGTCTATGTCGTCCCATGATACCTTCATATCCGGTAATGTCTATTCCGACTTTGGCGTTTAGATCTCCCATCAGAATGGTGAGGTCCTCTCTTGGGCACTTCGCTATGATTGATTGCAGATTCTCATGGAACTGATCTTTATTGTCGTCATTGCAATAATTGGTGGGTGCATAACATTGGATAGCATTCATTGTAATTCCCTCCTTTTTTGTTTTGAATGATGCTTTGATGATTCTGGATCCGTGAGATTCCCATTCTACAAGTGCATTTCGTGCTACTTTGGACCGCATTAGAGCGACTCCCTGAGTGTATGGAGCATTTTCTTCTTCGTGGCCGGAGTATAGCAGCATCTCTCCCGTATTTAGCCTTTGTTGTCCAGCTTGGGTCCAGTACGTTTCGCTGATTCCCAGTACTGCCAAATTGTATCTCCTCATTTCCGTTGCAATTTGACTGGTCTTCCCGGTCTCCCACATTGTTCGGACGTTCCATGTACCTATAAAAATTTTGCTCTGGTTGTTAGAAGGAGCGTCTGCCTCGTGACTTCCGAAGGAACTCAGCTTTCACTATGAAGCGTCATAATTCATCTAAATGAAGACCTTCTAACTCCCAGGGCAGAGGATAAACGGTTTGAATTATTTTTCCGGTTAGCGTTTTTGAGTGAGTTTGTTTTCTACGGGATGGGGTCGCTAACCTCATGCCCAATCCAAATGGTCTAACATATGTGTGCGTTAGCACAATCTTTCATTACCAAATCAACAATACGAGACGAAACTAACATGAATAGTAAGAGTCGAAGTAATAGCGATGTGAATGATAATGAGAAAAACTAACATTGTACAGAATAGCTTATAAAGGTATGAATTCCAACAATAACAAGCACGAAATAATATTTACGGTCAAAATGTATGAATGGATGCATCTGCACCAAAACGACCGATTCTGAGTCATTTCGACCATCGTATCTAGTCACTGATCGCGGTTATCGCGTGGAAACAGCTCAGTCCATCAGTTAATGACGATACGTAATATGTTCGGCAATCACCAGTTGTCCTTAAACATATACCTGCTCCACCCAATGTTCCTCAACGAAGTGAGCGACAGTTAGTCAAATATCTCAGACATATTAGTCGGTTAAGACATATAATTTCACCAAAAGTCTTGTCATCTGCTTAACTTTGGAATTACCCAATTAGTTGTTTTACAGTACAGGATTAGTGCTTCGAAGACACCTATGATCAAAGACATGCGTCCTACAGATGGCTCCTACTTTTATGAACCATGTTTGCCATTAAGTAATACAAAGCAAACTGTTACGCAGTATAGTCACCTTTTAATAGCCAGACGAAAAAACCGCTCATAACACAAAAAAACGTAAATTGGTAATAACTAAGTGATCTTTCTGAATTCGAGAAATTTTACAAGCCCAGTCAATTCACTCCCTAAAGGCAGTCTACGTGTTGAAAGACCAGCCTTAAGGAAAGCTGCTACAGTTAGGCATAACTTCTTGTTGTTTTTAGCTAGGGTGTCATTTGTAACGCGTAGTTTTCATTTGTGGAGCACACTTTACAGATAACCTGTTACTGGTTAGTGTCGATCTATTATGATGTAATTACAGTAGCTTTGTTATGTCATACTGCATATTGTAGAAATCACCATATACAAACCAAGTTACACGAATTCAAGTGCAAACATTTTCGTATTGAAGTCCTGCTCTACGATTTCGTTGCATCATCCTAGTGACCACCAATCCCTAGCCTTCTTAGATGACTTCAGAAACAACAATGCCCTATAATTTCCTCATTAATCAAACCGGAATACAACAATTTATAAAAGGTTATACTTACAACACCTGGATTGAACTGTTGTGTGTACCCAGCCGCTGCAGCTGCAGCAGCAACAGCTGCTACAGCTGCAGGATGGAATAATGGAGGATAATTCGTAGGATTTTGACTGTTTTGATGATATGAACTGTTAATCTGATTGGTATTGGTCAGGTAACTACCACTAAAACTTGCTGATGGCAGTGACTGATGTAAGTTACGAGATTCTTCTAGAGTCATTCAAGAATCTAAAACGAGAGACGAAAAGTGAGCATATATTTATTGATAGTTATGAAGTCGCATGTTCATTTTAAGAAGTAATTCTTCAATGACATTTAGGAAGGGTCAATAAGCATTTAATATACTCTGAAACAATACTAACAATCTACGGATGTATTGTACGGAAACCATGGGCTCCTTTAAGAGGGAAAAGGGTAGTCTGAAGCGAGGATTGTGAAAATTACCGATACAATAATCAGCCTTTTTAGATCATAGCAATTCCAGAATATATATATAAACAATATTATACAGTATTAACTTCAAAACTTGAATCTATATGTCCTTTACTACAATATAGATTATGCGACATTATCACCTGTTAGACTATACAGATCCATGTATTCTAATCAGATATATATAATACTTCTCATTGAATATTTCCTTAGACAAAAGAATACTTATGAATCAAAAATAAATAACCTTGCATAGTTGCTTTCAAATTAATCCTTATCCCTTCTTTTTGGTGAACAATTACGTCCAAACGTACATCATAATTTTGTTATGTTGACGTAATATTACAGTTAAACGGTTGTGTAGGTGTATTTACGAGAAATGGAAATAAAATTAAAACGGATCACGGGATAATATACACCTAGTAAATCTATCAAATTAAAAATAATTACTTGTAATAGTTCTCGTAGTGTCTGTCTTTTCCGCTTAGCTTTCATAGGTTAGTAGATTTGTAACTGTCTGGTTCAAAAAAACACACAACGTCCTCACCTTCTAAAGGACAGAGGCAGGTAGAACTTCATATAAAGCACAGTCCGCTAAGCTTTCTAATAACGCAAAAATACACCCAGCCGTATCTGAATTGTCCGTTACGATGATTAGAGTTATTGCGCAGTAATTTGCCCTGTATTAATTTTAAGGTTTGATATACAACTCTTCAAACAAAAACACCACGTACCTTACCGATTTTCGATCACATGTGTTTCAAAGAATTATTTACGTTTGTTGGGACCCCTAGTGGAGTATTATTTTATTTTAACACATAGATATTGGTACAAGGAGGCACCAAATACATGCGCCACACAAATCTCATTTGATATGTGTGAGGGCTGTGATACTGCCCGGGTGCCCAAACCGAAGCAGACTAGTGGAGTATTAATGGTTTTAGACAAAGAGCCAGAGGTAAAGGTAGCAAATCGACTGATGTTGCCCCCAAATGCTCTGGTATGGCCGAGAGTGGGGAGAGTCCACTTTATCTCTCCAAATGCTATCACATGGCCACGCGTATACAGCCTCTGCCAGGGAAGTCCTACTCACTGCCTTCTCGTGGCGAGGGTGTTGTTTACGAAAGTGAGAGGACGAAAAGCGAATGTCTGGCGCTCTAACCGGATCTCAAACCAATGGTGTACATGGGCTGCAGTATCCTGCGAGAACAAATGGCGTATGAACCAATTTTTGGCCACCGGCTACCATGGGACCGCATCTCCTCACGATGCTCTACTGCCTTGTGCGTCAGATCTTTAGGTCAAAGGCTCGAGATGTGGCCCCCTAAGAAAACCACCTGCTTCGGTCTGGGCACTCGGGCAGTATCATAACCTACACAAATATAATGATAATGAAAATGTGTGACGCATACATATTCGGTGCCCTCTTGTAACAATATTTATGTGTTCAAATAAAGTATAAAATAAAATCGACTGATGTAGTATCAAACTTTCAATATCTCGACCATTTAAGACATCTGATTCACATTTACAGGTAGCCCCTACCACTACGTGTTATTCTAGTTGTTATAACAGGAAACACAAAACCCAAGCTGTCAAACTAAGATGAACTATCAATCCGTGGAGCCACAACTTCTAGAGTGGGCTGTGAGAAAGTGAAGATTTTCGGGTTAGAGTAGATGTACTGAATATTTGCTTACCCACATCGGCTACAGAGCGAAAGGTAAACAAGAGCAAGTGGATTAAAGACATACATTCAACTTTGCAAGAGTAGTGAAGTCTTCAACTTTCCTAATCCCTGAACTTGTTCATCTTTCCAGGGTTACTTAAAAGATGTGGTGTTTTCCTACAAAACCTCACTAATTGTCTATTAATATCCAAGAAATTTAATAACATTCTTAAGATGTATGACTGATTAGATTGGGCTTCAAAATAATGTGTACAGAAACTTCGATTGGCATCACTGAGGACAACATAAGTACTGTAATCCGAAACCCTAACAGGGAAATTTAGAAGAAAAGATAGGTGAGCCGGAACTTACATCTAGTAGTGAAAGTGACCCACAACAAATGGCCACAGCACAAGGGTAGTCAAGACAGTCGGAAACCGAAACTGGAAGTCAACAGGATAAGACTTTGAATCCGTTACAGTACTGTGGCAAATCACGTCTGGCCAGAAGGTACTTTGTGTACTACTGGTGCATGCAAATTATTCCTGCCTCACTAACTTATTAGAGGCTCGTGAAAGTTGGTGCGGTCTTAAAGACCAAAAGTTACCTATGGACATAGCCTACATTAACTTCAGCAAAGCTTTTGACAAAGTTCCTCACAACCTGCTGTTATATAAGTTAAGAAATGTTGGGGTTGGAGGCAACCTATTAATGTGGATAAAATACTTCCTAGTTAGCCATCAAAAAAGAGTACGGCTGAAATTGGAGTTGTCTTGCTGAGAAATGTGCTTAACGGAGTGTCTCAGGGTACAGTTTTGGGACGAATATTATTCCTCTCGTATGTAAATGACCTTCCCAGTATCCTATCATCACCGGTTTTGCTATATGCTGACGATGTCAAGATGTGAAGAGCAATAAAAAGTAAAGGTGAAAGCTTAGAGCTTCAGAATGACCTGAAGAAATTATCTGGACGGTCTCAAATTTGGCAGTTGCCGACAAATACTTCTAAGTGTATTGTGACGCATATTGGTCATTAAGGTACAGATACATGCATGATGAATAACATTGAGCTACCTGTTATCCAGACACAAAATAACTTAGGAGTCATCGTCACCCAAGACTTAAAGACTACTGCACACTGCCGTGCAATAGCCGCCGAAGGTTTTACACCCTTATGGGATCAGTACGTAGGGCCTTTAACCATATCGACAATGAAACTTTCCTGACTTTGTACACAGTATTCGTGCGTCCTAGACTTCAGTACTGCATACAAGCGGCTAGCCTCTGTTTAAAAAAGACATTGAACTTTTGGAAAAGGTTCAGAGAACAGTAACTAAGCTGATTCACGGAATAGCGAAGCTTCCGTATCATTTTCGACTGGCTAAACTAAACCTATTCCCATCGTCATATCGAAGGACTAGAGGTGACTTGATTACAATCTTCAAATTACTTAAAGAGAAATTCGGATCTGATATAGCCCTAATTTTTCGTGACTTCCAAAATAGAGTTTACGAGGACACTCCAAAAAAGTTCACAAGCCCAGAACAAATTACTTGAGCATCGACTTTCCCATTGAATCATCAACGAGTGGAATTCATTACCTCAACTCGTGGTTGAAGCTTCATCTGTCGACACTTTCAAAAGAAAGTTGAACCAACTGAGACCACTACCAGGACTAACACAGGCCATCTAGCCTACTGTCCTTTCCAAACTGAAACCGAATGAGGAAGGCTGTAAAAGAGAACAAAAGAAAGAAGCATGGACTTATTTCAGTCACTTATATAATTGGGTAACTCATCCATATATACCCTGGACAGTCCCAAATACGAAGCATGACAATACCTGGATAGGCCAGGATATTCAACATTTACTAACAAGAAAGAAATGTCAGAACGTTGCCATCAGCCTTGACACAGTAAGTACTATGGGACGAAATAAGTTTATAATTAAAATCCACGATGCTCAGTGGAAATATAAGGTTGGCGCAATCTGTAATCAAGCAGTCTAAGAGACTATTTTCATGCACAAATCACAGAACAAGGATGCAGCATTGGATTCCCAACCCAATTAAGGAAGCGGGTCTGAAATCATAGAGGATGATCAGGAAAAAGCAGAGGCTATGGTAAACTATTTCGGGGTAGTTTTCACTCAGGAGCCTCTTCTGGGGGAAAAAATAGACCCAAATACAAAGTCAACAAACTGCCTGCTCACCGTGGACTTTGATCAAGACGAAGTACTTAAAGCGCTCAGCCCTTTAGACACGGAAAAATCAACAGGACCGGATGAACTATATATCAAAGTCCTGAGACTAATTGCATAATATATTGCAGCTCCATTGACTATAATATACAATATTGTCACCTGACCAAGCTGAGTTACCTACGGACTGGAAGGAAGCAATTGTCACCCCGATACATAAAACAGGATCAAGACAACTTCCATCAAATTACAGACCTGTCAGCTTCACCAATGTCGTGGTTCAAATACTGGAAAGATTAATCGAAAAGGCCATAATGACATTCATGGAAACCAACAATTTGGTAAACAGTGAACAACATGGTTAACCTTGTACAACGAATCTACTTACAGCAGGAGAACATTACATAGACACCCTGAAAAATGGTAAACTAGTTGTTTACATAAACTTCAGCACAGAATTTGATAGGGTACCAACAAATAGACTACTATCAAAGCTGGAAAACATAGTGATTGCCCGACGTCTTCTTAAATGGACCAATGATTTCCTGGCAGGTCGTAGACGGAGTAAGAACAAATTCCAAGTGCTCCACCTGGAAACCAGTACTTAGTGGGGTACCGCAAGGTTCTGTTCTAGGTCCTATATTTTTTGTATAGTATATAAATGAACTCTCAAGTATGGTTGAGTCCCCAATGCTACTTACTATACACTGCTGGTGTGAAAATCTGGCGAGAAAATAACAGATGCATGTGCACTTCAGACAGGCTTTCATATTCTGATTAGCAGGTCTAAAAAGTTGCTGATGTCTATCAACATTGCCAAGTGTGTCTACATGCACTTTAGGAATACAAAGGTAAATAGGTACAGCATAAGCGAAGTGCCCGTATCCGTGATATGGTCTCACAAATATCTTGGGGTGACAGTGAGTCGTGATCTTAAGACCACGGCCAACTGCCGAGAGGTTTCAGCTAAGAGGTTTAGAATCCTCTGGACTCTAAAACGGACACTCACCAAGTTAGATACTACCATGTTCATCACAGTATACACAACCTTAGTGAGAATTATGCTTGAGAACTGAGTTCAGGCTGCAAACCCCTGTCTAGGTGACTCAGATATCCTGGAAAGCGTACGGAGAGCAGCTACCTATGCAATTCCAGAACTCCAGGGTTTATCATACAAAGAGTGGCTTGAAAATCTAGACCTCTTTACTCTGTCTTACAAAAGACTGAGGGGTTGTCTGATTTTGATGTATAGAATGCCAAACAAATCTGGACCAAATATATATTTTCTTCTCTACCGACTAGATCGGGAAATCACAGAGGACATAGCAGGCGAGTAGAAATGCCAAGGACGAACAAAATACCCATGGCATATGTTTTCATACCTAGTCATCAATACTTGGAACATGCTACCCGAAGCGGCAGTGTCCGCATCTTTAATTGGCTCATTCAAGAGAAGACTAGACACTCACAGAAGCATACTATTAAAGGAATAATATAGACCGTAGGTTATCTAACCTTACTACACAAATCTGAATCCGAAATCTGAAAAATGGATCGACCACACAGCATGTACACACAATGTACTCACATTTATTACAACAAAAAAAATCGACAGATTTCGATCAAGACAATCTTGAGAACGTAACCCGCAGCAGGTAGCACAAAACCCACTTCGATCCCTAGGCCAGCGCGGAACTTTGAACTTAGCCCCTTAAGTATGTCTTTTCAGTAACTGCCCTTCAAGGTCAAATTTGCTCAATATCCAATATCTCTTTAGCGACCTAATATAGACCGACCAATTTTTTATAACTCACTTCTTGATGCAAAAGTACGGTTATGGGTGCTCGATATCATCTTCGGTGTCCGTTTTTGACTCCATTATGATCGGACGACAATGGCGTTAATAATATATATATATCCTACATAACTGCCTGTCTTTTGCCGATTAACAACGTTTACGGAATGTAGAAAAAATCCGAATACTCGTTGTATTTAGGTCATGAATATTCCAGGCATTCTTGGCGAATAAGTAAATCTAATGGATCCAGAAGGAACTGTAATAATCTATTTGGTGAATATATGTTTAAGATGAATAATATATGACTATGCATGTAAGAACTTTCGTCTAAATTTGAACGAATAGTTTCATAATATTTGGGCTCCGAGTCAATGTAAGACATTAAAGGGGTAAAATGTAGTTGTAAAATCTCGGCGAAAGAATTTGAAGTAAATCCAATGTTTCGCCTGGCAATCTGGTCCAAGCTTTTTCAAGGAAAATTTAATTCAATATGATCAATAGTTATTTCGCTGAGATTTTACAAATACATTCTTCCTCCATGACGACTATAGTTTGGATGACAGAGATACTTGAGGTGAGAACGGCTAAAAAATATTGAAAACTATCAGTGAACAATTAACAAATATGTAGCGGTAAACAAATCCCAGTAGAGATAAATAAGTCCTCCAAAATAAAGCTCTATAAATTTTCTGCACTAATGCTGACCTTGAAGATGCCACAGGTATTTTGAGTTTGACAACTCTTTAACCAGTAACACCTTCTAGTATAAGTGAAACCAGAAGACAGAAGCGAGAAGGTTCGAGGATATATTTGACAGGCTATCAATATATCGAGGACCGACTGGTCTAGACTGGCTAGCTAGGGTATGTTGAACATTGCGCTCCGACTAGTGACCTTGTGCGGAAACAGATCACTTTCCCTCTAGTGGGGAAGCTACGACTCTAAGACGTGGCCAGCCAGAAGTTTAAACCAAGCGAGTTTGTCATTGGTAAACACTCTTCTGATAGCGTGCCATGTTTAGCAGCGTCTAGTCATCTTTCCTTACTAAAAGGGACCATGTAGTACAAAATATTATTAAATAAACAGAGTACAATGAAAATTTAGATTCATTGTTCTTTTCTGGCTTTTCTAGCCATCCTGGAAAGGAAAAAAGTATATGTAAGTGCATGTTGAAGTACACTTGAACGTGCGTAGAAATAAAATGGGCAAAAGAAGGATAATAAACTAATGCACATGCGACAGCGTAAAAACAGATATTTACTGAATCATTTTTGTTGTTTTTTAAAAGACGTTTTTTAATATACATATGAAGGCGAGCATATTAGGAAAAAAATTTTGTTTCTTTCGGAATAAATATATAAATATAAGCATATTAAACCTGATTTTTTATATTATATATAATACAAAGAAAAATTGAGATGGAAACAAAATGTTAACTAATGTCTTACGTGCAGTAATCCTTCGAATGCTCTGAAAAACTTAATTTCTTTCAGAATCCGTTGTTTTTTGTCTGTTTTCAGATACTCCTGAAGTATCATCGTGAGTGTTGGCTATCGAATGGGGTATCATAAAAACAAGAGTTGCGTTTTCGATTGTGTTGATTTGGCTTTCGGAGAACTTCAACGGAGCCTCCAGAGGCCCAAAACGAGCCGAAGAGTCCCAGCCATTCGGAACACGATGGAGCATTCTAGAATTCCAACGTGGCGTGCTACTGTTGGTCAGTAGCATAATATGTCGTTAACGGATTGGCCGAAATATGATGTTGATTTAACAAACGCTAACATCTATAAATACCCATGTTTTTTGTACAAAAACGAACCTTGGAACAAAGTATTTCTCTCATACTTTGCGTCTTCTCTCTGGTGTTCAGGTCGCTGTGTAGTTCTAGCATGTGGGTTTCCAGAATAGCTTAGGAAACGAATATAGGGTTCAATTCGCAACACTTATCAGTGGCGACGGGAAAAACTACAATGAATATTTTTTTGGAGCAGCTAGAAGCTTATACTGAGCGTCAAGAAAAGAGGTTTGAAGAGTCCCTAATCAGAATCGTGGAAGCCCTGATGCAAAAATTCTGCCTGTTCCAGCAAAACCCTGCTTTCGGTGAATCACAAGTATCTCACACTGATCCAGTCATTAACGCCATCCATGAATTTAATTTTGATGGTGTAGCAGATGTAACTTTTGAGTCTTGGTTTAAAAAGTATGAAGATTTGTTCTATATTGATCTTTGCAAACTGGATGACGCATCAAAAGTCAGAATACTCCTGAGAAAACTTGGAACTATGGAACATGAATGCAACAGCAACTTCATTCTTCCGAAGAATTCACGAGACTTTAGTTTTGATGAAACGGTTAAAACCCTGGCTCAAATCTTTGGAGAACTATCATCTATTTAATATCCGTTACCAGTGTTTAAAGTTAACGAAAGAATCAGGAGATGACTGGGTGAAACATGCAGGAATTGTGAACCGAGACTGTGAGTGGTTCAAACTGTCCTTCATATCTGAAGACCAGTTTAAATGCTAGTATTTATCTGTAGCCTTCGTTCACCCGAGGATGCTGATATCCGAACCAGAATCCCAAGCAAACTCGAACACTGCCCTAACATGAAACTGCAGGAAGTAACTACCGAGTGCCAAAAATCAGTGAACTTGAAGCATGATACCTCAATGGTAGAGAACAGTAACTGTTTCGCTAACGTCACTGCAGTCAAGAGAAAAGTCTCTCACGGTTCGAGCACGCATAATTATCATAATAACAGCGCCGAACCATCATCTCCATGCTGGGAATGTGGAGGTTGACACTATAAGAGGTTCTGTCCATGTAAAGAACATTGTTGTAGCAAATGTCATCGGAAGGGGCATAAAGAAAACCTCTGCAGGAGAAGAAACCACAAACGACATTCCTTGAAACCTTACTCAAAGAAATACAGGTATAGTGCTCTAACTAACAAAGTATTGGTATCACATAATCGGGCACAAATTTATCGCCAAAGAAAGTATGTAAACTTAGATATAAATAAAAAGCGCACCCGACTGCAGCCCGACGTCACATTTATTAGTCGAAGAACCTGGAAGTTTATCGGAAAACCACAGGTGCTCTCAACAACCCAGTTAGCTCATAGTGCATCTGGAGGGAAACTAAATATTGTTGGAGAGGTTTGTTGTACAGTTTCAAACGGAAACGCGAAGACGGATGCTACGTTATATCTCACAGAGAACCCAGGACTAGATTTATTGAGTTTAGACTTAATAGACACAACAATTAGTAAATCACCCCATTAACCACATAGGCAGCACAGTGAGAATCAATAAACCAGCGGAAAAGGATCTGAAGGGGGTTGTATTAGAAAGATATGGTCAAGTGTTTAAAAAAGGATTGGGGGAATGCACGAAGACCAAAGCATCGTTAGCTTTAAAGCCTGCAGCTACTCCCGTTTTTCGACCTAGAAGACCCGTACCAAATGCTGCTCTCCCAGTGGTTGAACAAGAGGTAGAACGACTTCAGAAACTAGGTGTCACTGAACCAGTGAATTTCTCAGAATGGGCCGCACCGATAGTAGTAGTAAAGAAGACTAATGATAGCGTTCGTTTATGTACCGATTACTCAATCGGGTTAAATGAAGCCTTAGAAACTCATCACTATCCAATACCCTTACCTGAAGATCTTTTTGCTAAACTGAACGGAGGTAAGCTTTTCGCAAAGTTGGATTTATCCGAAGCTTATTTACAAATCCCTGTTGCTGACGAGTCTAAAACCCTGCTCACCATAAACACACGCGAGGGTCTATTGCGGTATAATCGACTACCCTTCGGAGTCAAGACGGCGCCATCCATATTTCAGCAAATAATGGATACTATGCTACAGGATGTTACAGGTGCTGCAGCCTATCTAGATGATATAATAATTATGGGAGTAGATAGGATAGATTTAGAAAAGAAACTCGACCAGGTGCTGGTGCGAATAGCTGAATATGGACTTCGACTTCGTCCAGAGAAATGTGGCTTCTGTATGCAAAAATTACGCTACCTTGGGTTTATAATTGACAAAGATGGCAGAAGACCAGATCCGGAGAAAACCCAGGCAGTGAAAACTATGCCCAGCTCGACGGAGGTCCTCGCACTACGATCTTTTTCGGGACTAGTTAGCCATTATGGAGCATTTATTCCGAACCTTCATCAATTACGTGCCCTCTTAAATAACCTTCTGTCGAAGAATGTAAAATGGAATTGGTCTGCAACTTGCCAAGCTGCTTTCGATGAAATCAAGAAAGTACTAGTCTCGGATCTGCTGCTCACCCATTGCGATTCATCATTACCCATTGTAGTAACATCAAACGCTTCAAAATACGGCATTGGAGCAATTATTTCTCACATCATGCCAGATGGATCTGAGAAGGCGATATCACATGCAGCCAGATTGTTAACGTCAGCAGAACGTAACTACAGTCAGATCGAGAAGGAAGCATTGTCGATTATCTTCGCTGTAAATAAATTTCAGGAGATGATATCTAGGCGTCAGTTCACACTATTAACTGACCATAAACCATTACTAGTCATTTTTGGGTCAAAGAAAGGAATCCCTGTTCATAAGCTAATCGACTCCAACGATGGACAACCACACTTCTGGGTTACGACTTCAAGATCAAGTATCAGTCTACTACCGCCTTCGGGCAAGCTGATGCATTGTCAAGATTAATAGGCTCCTAATCAAAAACCCCAGGGGAGACTCTTGCAGCAAATATAAAAGCTGCGAAAGAAGTTCATCGCGCATTGAATGATGCAATCAATGGACTCTCAGTAACCTCTGCTTTGAAACTGTCAAGAAGATCACTGAAAGTGATAGGACATTGAGCACAGTTAAATGCTATCTCTCGACAAAATGGCCAAACAATCGCCTTGACAGAGAACGTTTACAATATTTT